CCGATTAGCTCCTGTTGTTGGATAAATCGGCTTCACGGATGTCACGGATAGCGATGGCCCATTGGCGACGCTCGGAATCAAGCTCTTCGCAGGTGTCAACCCAGTGCTTGTTCCCGTGTCAAAAGCCATAAACGATTACGAGACCCATACTTTCGCCTTCCGACTTGGCAGTGTTGAGCCACGTCTTCAACTGACCGCCATGTCGGTATCTCCAGTTTGTACTACGAGAGGTCCGTCGACAGCTTGCGCAGTAAGTGGCCAAACCATTGTAATCGGCGATGCTGGATGTATGTGCTAGACTCGGAAGTTTGAAACGCCTGCGATCTAGCTCAGCATTGGAAATTCGATCCTGCCAGGAGATTCTTAAGTTGCATCGAAAACTCCAGCGGTCAAAAACTTCGAGCGATAGGATGTCTGTCTTTCTCAATGGCCATGTTTCGCAGGCATATGCCAACACCGGTGTAATAGATGCTCTGTATATTAACAGCGTAGTACGTAAGCCGATGTCTGAGTAAAACCAGAGTGGTCTGGCTAACAGCCTCAATGCATTTCGAGCCGGCGCCATTCGGTTTCTGATTTCTTCTTTGGCCTGTCCATTAGCCAAGTAGCGGAAGCAACTAACTTCTTCGGTGGGTTGACCACTGATAAACAGTGGTTGTGCCGTGCCCAGATGCGTAGTCAGGTACTTCTTCTTGCCTATATTAATCGTCAGACTAACAGTTGCAGCGAAGCTGGTGATTCGTTTAGCGTTGGCTGAAGCGACTGATGAGTATTACGAAGTACAGCAATGTTATCGGCTTACTCCAAGTCAGGAACTCTGAATACGGCATTCATTTCACATACACTATCAAGTAGAATTGATTGATGCATCACCCAGTCAATCAAGAAGTTGAAGAGAACTGGGGAAAGAGGGCATTCCCGTCGAACTCCAGAAGTCAGCGGGAAAAAATCTGTCTCTCCACCAAGGGCTCTTACTCGGGCTGATGTTGTGCTATAGTAGGCTTGAGCAACTTTATTGGGAGGTCGTCAGAAAGCAAGATTTGCCAAAAAGCTTCTCTGTCGATGAAATCAAAGGCGGTCTTGAAGTCAATGAAACAGGTGGTGGTGATCTGTTGGTCCTGTTGTCGGCGTTCCAGTAGAATGAAGATCTGGTCAACCCATCCCCTACGGGGACGAAACCCTCTTTGGTTAGGACGAGTGCGTAAATTGTGCTCGGTCGAAAATCTGCATATACGTTTAGATGCGGTCCGATTGGATGGAAGGGCATAGTAACGAACAAATCCATGGTTTTTAAGACCAGACGGGGAGATTCGATCACTGAAAACGATTTTCGCCCAACGTTCCCGACTCTTGCTCAAGCCCATAATCAAAGACAGTAGCAGAATGTAAGTCAGTCAAGGCTTTTAGGTGGTCGGATAACTCTTCGTGCCTAGGAGTGAAGTACTGACGGCGGCGTAGACATGACAGGGATCTCCTCAGCTACCTCCGATCAGTGCTTTAATCCCCATCGATAACCTTTGGAAGATAGAGTAATGCAGTGTTGGCATCTTATCAGAAATTGCGACCGAATTCACTGACATTGTTAATTATGAACGTTATCATGACCTTCCTATCGAAGTTCCCGCCGGTCATTTTTTATAATTTCTCAGGTCTACCCCTTACCATATGGTAATACTTGACTAGTAGTCTGAGCGCCTTTCATTCGGCAACGGTGTGACGTTGCTTTTGCTTAGCTTTGTCTCATACAAATGGTGATGCGTCTGCAACCGTATAAACGGCTGGATTTCCTTTCTGATTTTCATAAATGTACTTTCTTAGTGAACTGATTCTAAGCTTAAGCAGTATTCTACTTGTAATGTGCTGCTGAAAACTCTAAAATTATGTGCAGAACTTTCAGTCGTGCATTAGTGAA